GCTTTAATTGTCTTATAGTTAGTGTCACAAAATGAACAAATCTTTTTTGAACTCTATCATTTTTCCTATGAGATAATTAATGATCACGTGATTCACCTCATAGTGAATATGTGCTACAGTGCTTGATGTGATGAAATTATAACAGAATGTATGATGTGGCATATCATCTGTTCCATTATCATATCAAACATTCTGCTATAGTTTTCATCATATCAGATACTGTATGAATATTCACTTCGTGTTGAATATAATCTTTCTTTGAAAAAGTCAAACTGTTATGCCTTTCTTGATCTTCTACTTTCGTGTGCTTACCATTTCACGCAGTCGGCTTTACAATCTTTTCGAGGGTCAGTTGACTCTCCTTTACCCTTCCGTTTAGACATGCGCCAAGACCACTACTCTTGATTGGTATTGATCTTCGGCCTTGGAGTACTGGATATTGGATATGTGCTGTCTTACTGTTACGATAAGAAAATGTTTCTGCTGTACTGCCAAAAGTATAACTCAAAATCTGTAGACCTTTATTCACCATGCAAAATTCAGTTGAACAATTTGTTTTACTGTCTATGGAAAACGCTGTACTGGGCGCTCCCAATATCCAGAGCTTTAGAGGTTATAAGGCGTAACCACACCTATTCTGAGGTTGTAAGGTGTACCTAGTGCTTACAGTACCCAAGGGTCACGGTTCATGTACAAAAATCGTAAGGAATCTGACCATTTCTTTGAAAAAATTTCAAAACAGTCTGACTAAGATAACTTTTCTATAGGAAAGAAGTGTTTGTTTGTGAATGTGTACGAAAACATTTTCATGTTTCGGGTATACCCAGGCGTCGAAACAAATCTAGTACCGCCCGATTCATCTAGATTACCAGATTTTTACTCGATTGCAACTATTGAGTGACGACAGTGAAAATCTAGTAATCGGGCGATTGCTACATTTCATCAAGCTGCAACTATCGACCTATCGCCCGATAATCGATCGATTTAACTATTGCTAGTTGCACATGCCGACTCATCTAGTTAAAAGTCCCTTTTCCAACTAGTAATCTAGATGGTAACTAGTCATGTATCGCCCGATTACAGACGAAATGTATCTAGATTTTTCCCATAGGTGATGTTTGCTTGGGTACTTCGGATCACAGCGGAAAAATTTTCGTGTCCGTTCGGGTCGGGTCGGGTCAACATATAAGATATTGAGTCGGATCGAGTCGGGTTCGGGTCACGTTTTATTGACCCGTTTCGGTCTCTGGTATGCAGTACCCTGATTAGAGCCACGAGGACATCGACAGAAGGATGTAGCCGTATTAGGCCTTCTGCATGTGTTGTTGATGGCTATTTGAATGAACGTGCGGAAAGCGGTGAGTCTTGTATAGACACCGGAAGAATTGAGATTCACGCATGGTTTTCCATAACGCGTCACGCCAATCAACTCCCAGGGTTTTGAATCCATGAAAACTAGCCCCCCTCATAACAGAAGACCCTTCTACGGAAACGATGTGAGATTCATAATTGAAGACCCGGGTCTTGGAACGAATCCTTTGGAACCTCTTTAACTTTTTTTAGATTTACAGGAGCCATATGTTGAATTTAAATTTATTTAATTAAAAAAGGTGTGACGTTCCAACTCTTCACAGAGTCATTTTCAGAGAAAAATATAGAACACTACTGTACTTTACACTGGAGGAGATATCGTCTTCCATATTCGACAATGTAATAGTTGTCGGGGTAACTGAAGTTTTTTCATTGGTTTTATTTAACGTGGCCGATTGTTGTTGATCGGCAGATGTTTGCTTTTTTACATATTTAATATTTGACGTTAATTGTAATGCATAGTCATATTTGCTAAAAGTAAGAAGTCATAAAAAAAACATGTCATTATAACCGGAAAACTCAAATCTGTCCGACAGAATGTTTATTCGAAATTTTCTGTTAATTTGAGCACTGAGTTTTGCAGATCCAAATAGTAGCATGAGCCAGAGTCAGAATTTTGTTCGCTCTCTATCATTCAAATATTTTTATCATTGATTGTGCTTTGGGTCTGACACGGAAGTTACAGATAAGATGCTACTGGATGAGGAAATATATTTTAATGTTTTCCTAATTTCATAAAAGGAGGATCCAGGCGCAAAATTCTGATTCTAGAACATACAAGCTAGATCATTAGGCAGCTAGATTCAAAACAGTTTTTTCTTCAAAAAATGTCGACTTGAACAGTTACTAACGAGGGTACATTCCCAAATGAGGCACTCCGATTTTGTTCTAATCTGGCAATTTATACGTAATCAAGGGTGCTGAGCCGTTTGCGCCCATAGATCTTTCCTAGCAGTTCTCTGGAGAACTGGTTTTCTAGAAATCCCCTGAATCCCTAGCAATCTTTTATCAACATGTTGGGATTGTAGCCTGAAAATTTTGCATCAAAATGAGACGCGTCCCAGTTCTCAACGATCTTTCTTTGCAAAGTTACAAAATTTACAAGAAAAACTTTAAATTAATTTTCCTTTTTCTTTTTATATCTCTGAGCTGACAATGAACAGTTAGGGTGTTAGGTTCTCGGGTAAACTAAGATCTTTCTCACCTAACGTTTATTTACAAATAAAAACAATACCCTTTTAACAATAAATTGATCTATTTATATAAGAAATATTATGCGATCATCTTGAGTCAATGTTTCAGTGATTCACTGGAAAAATAAGCATTTGAATTATTACGAATGGCCGTTGTCTCTCATACTAACACACCTATCTTTAATTTAGCAGATGATGATGAATCTTCGTTATCAACTAATGATAGATCAGCTGCACCTAGCACAACAAATCTACTATGTTTATGTTATGATAAACCACGAGCTGATAAAACACAAGCTGATGAAGTGCTATTATGGAGTCAAAGTGTTTTTGATGATTTTACCAATGATGATGATTTATTCTCTTTTTGGAGAAAAAAGAAAGATGAATTTCCTATAATTGGTGCTATTGCTCGTAAATTATTGGGTATTCCAGCATCTAATACTTCAGTGGAAAGACTTTTTTCATCAACTAAGATTACAGTTAGTGACCGAAGAACAAGGTTAGGTGCCGAAAAAATTGATAAACTTATGTTTCTTAAAAAGAACTTAATACCACTTAAAGACATGTTTGATTCAAAAAGTCCTTCATCAAAAATTAATTGAAAAAGAAAATCGGACGACATTATAAACGAGCATGATGATCAAGACGAACTTTGTTTTTTAAAAAAGATTAGAGGTGAAGAAGAAGAATGTGATATATTAAGTGATGAATATGAAGGTGAAAATGAAAACTAAAAGTGCGTTTATTATTTACATTAATTTATCTTTTTTGTATTGCTGCTTTTGTTTTCTATATATTAACTTAGATTCATTATGTAATATGAATTTGATAATGAGCTTTGATCTTTTTCATTTTCTCAATTAAAATGTGAACAGAATATACTGTTTTCGTCATTTTTTTTCAACATAATACAGGTCACGGTCACGGTCACGAAAAATTTTTAAAAATCGGTCACGGTTACGATCACGCATGACCGTGACCATTTTACAGATCTCTATGTCTTATATATGGCTCTGAATAAGTATGAAAGAGACCATTATTACGATTATTCTCTGATTATGTCTGTCGGCTGTTGTATCTTCGAAGACTTGTGAAATATTCTGTTATGGTATTTTTATGCAGAAAAATTGTACATCGAGGTAACATATCTTTATCCTAGGTATGATCCGAATTTTTATTGATAATGAAGAACGTAAGTTATATTGTGTTAAAATAATACCTACTGTAAGTATAAGGTGACAAAAAAATCGAAAACTCTTGCAAAAACAGATAAAGAACAATTATAATAAAATAAAATTTATTGAATTCATAGTCAATAGATAATGATCATGTAAGACTTTCAATTAAGTCTGCAACTTTTGCTCGATTATCATTTTCTCTCATCTTTTTCGATATTATTTTCAATTTTTCTTCTAATTGTTTATCAGCTAATAATTTTTCTATTGCATCCAATAATTCTTTTTTAGAACAAGAATAAGTACCCAATCGAATTCCAAAGCCTTTTTCTTGTATTCGTTGTGCATTATCAAATTGATCACCAAAAAGTGGTAGAATAATTAACGGTTTACCAAAATAAAAAATTTCAGTAACTGTATTATTCCCACCATGTGTTATCACTAAATCTACTAACGGTAAAATTTCTACTTGTGGAACTATTTTGTCACCCCACATATTATTAGATAAAGAATATTCATCACCTAATGGACCTTTTGAAATAATAAATCGATGAGGTGACTTTGCTAAAATATTAACTAATCGTGTCATTAACGATAAATCTGCGGATCCAAATGAACCCATTGACATAAAGACTAGTTTTCCTGGTTTATTAGCTAATTTTTCTGGTATTTGGAACTCACATATGTCGGATGTTCGTACTAATGCATCACATCGAATCCATTTAGGTGGATATGGTCGTAATTCTGTGTAATCAAGTTCTTCTGGACACAGATAAAGATTTAGATAAGGGGATGCATTTTGAAAAAATGGCCACATTTGTTTGGTCAATGGTGGTGCACCTTGTTCAATTATCCATTGATTAACTTCTTCCCAGTTTTGATCAGAAATTCTCTTAAATTCTCTTCGAAATTCATCCCATTGTTGACGATCACTATCAGCTGCATAACCTGAACCACGTGGTGGACAATTTTCTTCATTAAGACCTAATGGATTACTTGACATTAACCAAACCCATGGAACTCCTGCCGTTACTATTGCTGGTTGACAAATGTAATGATCAACAATAATTATATTAGGTTTAATTTGTTTGATTAAATCACGAAGAAATGGATCATTATATTTAACATTATTTGTCAAATTACGTTGAACAGAATGTTCAAAAATGGCCAATTGACCATAAGAACTTTTTCGTAATTCATCAGCAGAAGCTTTAATGAAATCTATATATATTTGTGATGGTTTTGCTTCTTCACCATACAAAAATTCTTCAAAACCATAAGGTGATATTTTTCCTCTCCAACCTGTTGCTACTCCAAAAACAATTCGGTGTCCACGTTGTTTCAATAGTTCGGCTATTCCTATAGAAGCATGAATATGACCCAATGTATCCAAAGGTACGAATAAAATTGTCAATTGTTTTTTTGATGATGATGACATTTGCGTTTTAAATGTTAGTCCAAATTAAATACCGATATTTCATTAGTAAAACAAGTATTCGATAGCACTTTATCTTAATAAAAATGAATGAATGTATGGTTTTACTCTCAACTAGATCAGAAGTATATGTTTCTTCGAAAATAGAGTCAGTTTTCAAAAGATACAAAGAAATCTATGTCACAGTGTTAATGTCTATTGTAAATCTAAACTGATTCTATCCTGATTGTGAACAAAATAGGATTAATTTCATCGAAATTAATAAGGTACCGACAACGCAAAATTCGAGTAAAAAGTTTTTTTTCGCCTTTTTTTACACCATTTGATAGAGCGTGAGCTGCTGATCACGAAAATCTATCTTTTAGCCATAGCAAATGCTTCCTTCTGGTCGAAAAATACGAAATACTCGAGAGATGTCGTTTTTCGAGAAAAACACTTCTTTTTCGAAATGTGCAAAATTTTCTACTTTATTTATTTTTCCAGCTTCTGAAACTAATTTTTAGTTAATTTGACAACTTTCATTTTTTGACCTGTATACAACAATTGCAGCTCTACGACGACGATATCTGCAAAAATGAGCAAAAATGAAAGTTGTCAAATTGACTTGAAAAACACTTCATTCGACTCAATTTTTTGTGCTGATACCGAATCTGTATCATAGTCATTACTACTGGTACCATAGTCATTTTAGGCAGTATTCAAGGCTTTTCGAATTCAAATAAGACTTTTAGTCATAAACTAAATAAAGATTCGAATTTCGCATTGCCGGCACCTTACTGAGTTTATGCAAAAAGCGAAATATACAGAACAATTGATGAATATGACTCTGGTTACCGATCGATTTCATAATACAGTACATACAGTAAAATTGTGCAAAACATTATTCAATCCTGATTCTGAACAAAATAGAATTAATTTCATCGGAATTAATACAAGTATAGCTGAACAAACATTTTCGTACTTAACAAATTTCAAAACTTCTTTACGAAGTTTCTCTTATCCTACATCCGCTTTATTCACAATTTTACTATTTCATTTGAAAAATTTTTTGCGACAAATTACCAAAAAAAAATCCTGCACATTACAAAAAACCCTGCACAGCAAAGTCTTATTATCGACACTGTTGTTGAAAATATGATTGAAGATCAAGTGTCTTATCAAAGTTATTGTATATTCGAAATATTAATGATCGAGGAAGAGACGAATGAAGATAATTCACAGTCGGATGATGAATATGTCGATATTACTCATCATGAAGCTGACAATACAAACTAAATTGATTTTGATCATCATGACTAATATAGATGTGGTCTTTTTTATTTCTATTATCTTGTTTTCTTCATTTTCTTTGCCTGATTAGTACTGTAGTACAAGAACAAAATCATACAAACGCGTTAAATATATTAACGCATTCTAACGAGTTAGAACATTTTAAATCCAAAGAATTTTATTCTAACGAATGTTAACGCGTTCGAAGTCGTTAAAAAAATCGAACGACTTTGAACGCTGTGCTACCGAGGTGTAACGTTAACACACGTTATAAATTGAATTCGTTAAAATCACCGAATATGAAACATTTAACACGGTTTTAACGCGTTAATCCGCTTACCCGTCGCGTTACAATTTCAAACCATTCCTGATTGACTAGTTTTAACCCAACTTTTACTATTTTTGGAATGAAATTAAATTAAGGCTATTTTACTTCATTAGTGAGGACAAAGTGTCTAAAGACGAATTGACGAATCGCAATTTTTGGGCGTAAAAATGATGCAACAATTCGCATTTTACCATTGTT